AGCTCCTAACACAGAGTCCCTCTCCGGATTCTTTGTAGCCCCTACAGATATTGAAAAGTTGCTCTGAGGTCTCCATGCAGTCTTCTCTTCTCCAGGCTGAACAGCCCCACCTTCCTCAGCCTGTCTTCATAGGGGAGATGCTCCAGTCCTCTTATTACCTTCGTGGCCTCCTCTGGACTTGCTTCAACAGTTCCATGTCCTTCTTGTGGTGAGGACACTAGAACTGCATGCAGTATTCCAGGTGGGGTCTCATGAAGCAGTCACAGCTTTGCAGTTCCCCTGTGTGCACTGACCCTACTGGTTTGGTGATGAGTACTTGCTACCCTAACATGGGGAACATCTGCATGGGCTGGGATAACAGCCATAGGCACAATTCTAGAAAAACCTTTCAAGCAGTTGATCTGCTGCAGTCAGGCTTTTCTGAAGGAATTGTGTCTGGAAAGAATGCTCTCTCTAAGAGCAAAGCTTAAATATAGTCAACTTGAGGTACATGAAACTTACACTTTTTCCTTGCAGACTACAGCTGTTGTTAACTCCGTGTCTGTGACTGGTGAGCCTTCCTCTCCAGTTTCAAGCCAACTGCTGCGAAAAGGAGGCTCAGCTCTTCAGGAAGAACTGAAGTATCAACTCAGATATTCATCATCTCTAAAGAAGCTCATAGTAACCAAAGGGCATAACCTGCCCTGTGAGTTTGTGCTGCACGTGGTATCGATGCAGCCCCGCCACCCTGTGCTGCAGTGTGAGGTGATGATCAGTTATGTGGGATTTTAATGGGTTTTCGTGTTGGCTGATGTGAGGACTGAAACACTTGTTTTTCCTGCAGGAATTAACGGATGCCGTGAAGAGTTGCCTGTGTCACTTTCTGAACAGGCGACCTCTCTCCATTTCTTTTCCAGTAAATAGGTCATTAGAATTGCCTCTTGATATAGTGGCAGAGACTATGATTGAAGCAGTTTTAAATTTTGCCAGCACACACCCAGAGAAGCAGAGAGAAGTGCAGTTTGTAATTTGTCCAGATATCTATGATGCCTATCAGGTAAGAAATTATTGTTAAGAAGGACACTTTTCCCATAAAGAAAACACAAAGCCCTAAAAATATTCACATAGATGACTAAAAATGAAAATAATCTTCATTCTGTACCACTTACAACATTTGTGAGTGGAAGGTCCTTTTATGAAATTATTTGTATCATTAACAGGTATTATTAATCTTTGCAAATCTTTGTTTCCTCTTCACTAAACTAGAAGTCTTCACCCTGTGGTCTGTTAAAAAAGGGAGAGACCTTTGAAATACTCATGACTGTCAATGAATTCATAAGAAGAGTCTACTCTTAACTCATTAGGGAATAAACTTACTCCTCCTCAGGAAATTTCTTTAACCATTTTTTTTGGTATGAAGTTCCTAAGGCAAAACACTGTCAACAGATTCTACAACCTAACATACTCGAAGGGTTTCAAACACACAGTGGATAATTTCAACTGCAGTGTGCCACTTTCCACCTTCTGAATATTTGGCTGATGTGATGAATACACAACTATTTTAGCCATCTATTATAGAAGTACAGAGTTTACTTTTGTTCCTATTTAATTTCAATCATCCATTCTATCAATGTGTGCAAGAACTAGGTGGAGGGGATTTGAAACCAGGTGGTGTTTAAAGTCCCTTCCAACCCAAATCATTCTATGATCCTGAGATCAGATCCATGTTCTGTAACAGTCCCATGAACTCTAAAGGAAGCTGGATGACAGCTATGTGCTCTTAATCCCTTGGCAGTCAAGGCATAGCATAAACTCCTTTTGCTAAAAGGAAAAGGAAAGGCAATTTGCCAATTCACTGCCTAGCTGCCTCTAAGACACTTTCCAAGGGGGATCACAAAGAGGAGTTTGGGGTAAAGGCACAGGAATAGTCTGAATTTTAAATCTGAGTAAGGATATATCAGCATTAAAATGCAGTAATGAACACCTTTGTCTTCTGTGGTTGCATCAGTCCCAGATATACCACAACCACAAGAAGTTGGTAAAGGTGCCAGTTGGTGTGTAAGGTGTCTTACCTTAGGAGATGTAGAAGAACAGGAATGCATTTGCTATTGTCAGGAATAACTTTTTGGCAAAATCTGACAGATGCCAGCTGTTAACAGGGGGCAGTGGGGTGGAGAGGTGTGACTCCAGCTGTAAACTGCTTATCTAACAGAGTCTTGAAAAGATGAATTGCATATTTGACAACTGATGTCAACTGCTCCTGAACTTCTCTCTTTCAAGGTTTTCCAGAGAAAAATGTATTCAGCAGAACACAAACTGAGAAACAGAAGTGACCCTTTGAGTAAGTAATGAACAAAAGAGGCATTTGCAGTAAGTGAGCACTCCTGATTTGAGAATCTGAAATCACATTCCTTTAAAAAGAACTTAGGGTTTGCATATGTGTCTGGGGGAAAGGGGGAGGCAAAAATCTGTGAGCACTTCATGTTTTTACATTAATAGCAAAGGCACTGGGCAGTTCCTTTCAAGATTTTAAGATAAAAATCGCTGTCAGTGCCTAACTTGTAAATCATTTAGTGAAAGGCAAATAAATTCTGCATACGAGTGTGTGGTTGGATCCTGGAAACCTTACCTCCTGGTATCTCTCCTTTGAGCAAACCAGAAGAGTAGCATGTTTCTTGTGCTGTACAACCTACAGGTAGGAATTTGTGTCAGCACTGGAAAACCCTTCACTCTTCCAATGCACTTACATTAAAAAAGTATCTTTTTTTTCTATGTACAGAGTCATACAGTCAAAGGGAAACAGAGACTGCAAATAACCTACCAGCGATTGAACTTCGAGGGAACACACAGACAGCACTGGAAGCAGCAGAATCGTGGCTCCAAAGCCTGGTACAAATTCAGGAAAGTCGCAATGCTGTTATTGAAAACAACTACATTTTTTGCCTTGGTAAAAATGAGTTTGCAGAACTGTCTCGAGAGCAGCTTTCTGGTGTGTCTGTGTCAGAAGAAGTGAGAGGTGGACAAGCAAGACTGGAATTTCAGGGTCCTCCTGATGCTGTGATTGATGCAGTGCTCACAACTGAAAAACTACTGCTTCGTATGCAAGAGAAGACTATTGCTGAACAAAAGGAACTGCTCTACTTAATGTGTACGTACAGTAAATAACCACTACTCAAGTAAATAAGTGCCTAAATAAGGTCAAGTACGAAGCAAAGTATATCTCTATTGCTGAGGGTGGATAGATGAGCATTCAGCTCAGACACATATACTGAGCACTGCTTAATTACTGATATTCCCATCCTTTTACCACCTGAGCCCCTGGAAGATCATTTGTTAGCTGTGGTTGCTCACTTGGCAGTATTCCCAGCTGGGCACAGTTTGCACAGGGGCTGGCTGTGCTGTAGTCCTGGCTTCCTTCAAGACACTTTTGCCTTAAAGTCTGGCCAGTGGAGACTTACAAAATTTGTACTTTATTAACACACCTTCACTGAACTCTTTTGCTAACTACAGCTGGACCACTGTTGCAGGAGCCAGCAGTGACTAGTTCTGCAGAGTCCTTGGCTGTCATGAACAGTTGATACAACTAGTGGCATTACAAAAAGCTACTGAGTGATCAATTTTCATTCATGTCTATATAGTCATTCAGTATAGATGCCTTTATATGAAAGTTGGGCTGTGGAGAGGTGTAATGGAAAAGATAAATTGCTTTTCTTTGGTTCCCACTCTCTGGTTTCATTATAATAAATATAGGAAAATAGAATTAATTTATATATATATACACATCAGTCCCTCTCAATATGAGCCTCTGACATTAATCAATTACAATCATACATAACATTTTTTGTTCTTAACTAAACTACCAACTAAAGTCATAGAAACATAGAATTTAGGGGTTGGAATGGACCTTACAGCTCATCTAGTCCCAACCCCCTGCCCTGAGCAGGGACACCTCC